AAATTATAATATTAGAATTTATAAAATAACAGTTACATACGCATAATCCAAATCTACGTCAAAAATTTTTTTTGTTGACAATTTTTTTTTGTGTTTTATGCTTTCTCTCCAGAAGCTGCTCAATTTATCGGAACTGTCGATAAGGGACCACTATATCATATAGTTGTCATACAAATTCAACGATCGGATTCAAATGTTTGAAAGCAAAATTTTTTTATTTGACAACATATCTTCACGATCACTACATCATATAGCTGGCTTACAAGATCTTTTTTCCTTTTTAAGTATCCTGAAATCGACTTAATGGTTTATGGATGTAGAAAGAACTAGTAAAGCCTTATCGACTGGATGCAAATCGTTATCAGTTTAGTTATAAATATAATTGCTATTAGACATGCTCCTGAAAAGGGTATATTAGCTCAGTTCAGTGTTCAGGAAGTTTTTAACGAACAAAATTTCAAAATAAATATATGCAAAAACTTCCATTAGCTGTTGTAATAGTTTGGTGGGAAATCTTCTGTAAAGGCGTTACATTTCTTCTCTTTTGTGAAATTTCTAAAACTAGGGCAAAATTGTACCAGCAGCGTGGTTTAGAAAACGTCGCAAAACAATAAGCAATATTCTCTCCAAAGGTGAACATTGGATGTTGCAGCAAAACTCTGCACCAGCACACAAAGTAGAAGCATTGAGTGGCTTGAAAGTAATATTCCCCGGAAATTTGTAGAGTCTCAAAAAATATTTGGTTCGTGCAACGTCGTCTATACCAATAGAAACTGTGCGTGCTGCTATTGAAATGGCCGAATGGTTTGAGGGTTTGTGTGAAAGAAAAAGGTGACCATTTCAGATAAAATTTTGTATATCCCTCATTTAATATGTGCTTATTATCAATTAAAAACATTAATTACTTTAATGAAAAATGGATTATAGTTTTATACATACATACATACAACGGCCTGAACTTCTAACGAAACATAATTTGTATTAATAAATACTTATAACGTAAACGTCCGTCTGATGAAGAGACCACTGCTTCTTCCTTAAAAAGAATGCCTCCACCCAATATTGACCTCATAAATCTGTCTTCCCTTTGTCCACAAGGAGAGAAGGTCTTGTCTGCTCAGAATACAGAGAAAGCTGTTACTGAGCATGGTAAGCGAAACCCTTCTCAGGATCCGCTTCCAAATAACTGTAGGTCAGGTAGTAAAAATTTAATTGTAATACCGCGGAAAAAAKCAATATTTATCTCAAGACTTGCTGCGGATACCACCGTCGATGACATAAAGAGTTACATCTCGTCTAAACTAAAATCGGAAGATGCAGACATCCGAAAATTTCATTTCAAATATGACAGGGATATTTCATCTTTCAAGATCGACATATCCGCTGACAATTTTCAATTGCCTCTTGACAACTTATTCTGGTCATCTGGGGTCTTTGTGTGCCCGAATTCGAGCATAAACGTTTTAAACCCCCTGCAGTTGCCAGTAAAATCTCAAGTAAACCCGTTGGTACAAAAAACTGATTAGCAATAATTCGCTGAGTATTTATTATCAAAATGTAAGAGGCCTTAATACAAAACTCTCCGATCTGTACTACGCTATTTGAACGTCAATTATAATTTTAAAATCATTGCTTTCACATAAATATAGCCCCACATTTTTGATAGTGAAATATTCAATAGCGAATTTGAAATCTTTGGATTTGACCGGCTGAACAAGAAAGGAGGTGGTGTCTTCGTTGCTGTTCATTCTTCAATTCCATCTGAAGAAGTCGATGTTTCGCATGCACACTTCATAGAATTTAAGTGCATTCGTATTTGCGCTAATAGTGGCTATATTTTTTTTTTTTTTTGTTTTTTGTTTTTATAGTAGGAGGAAGCATCGAAAGCCTGAGTGCGGGACTTTAAACCTAACCTACTCCCAGCTC